CTTCCAGTTTCTTCAGCTCTGGGGATACAGATTTTGAGTGTCTGGGTGAAAATAATAAATTTCACATGGGTGTTTTACATTGTGGGTAATGAGAACATATTGAAAACTTCAGCATGTTTCACTTTAAAAATTAATATATTGATTCATAACCTTTTCATAGGCTCCAAACGGCTGAAATCCAGCCACAGCCAGCGCACAAAACATCTTGCATTGGGCTGTAAAAATATGCACATGGTTCACACATTTGCACAATGCGCGAGTTGTTCAGGAAAATGTGAAAAAGGGGTGTGTTCCATTCATTTCACGATATCAAATAATTGCAATACTAAACATCTGAGATTAACTGTTTAGTTATCTGATCTGGACTTTGGCTGACTTATTTCGAAAACACCACCGCCGAGAATTCGTCATATTTCATATACTTTACGATAGATTTCACTTAAGATTTCCAGTAATTAAATATAAATTAGATTCGCGGATCTATTGGAAAAATAGATACTAATAAATGTAATCTCGAGGCAAATTTATCCCACTCTTTGACACCTTCGGAGCTGGAATAGGTTGCAGGTCATGGAAATGCTAATTTCACAATAATGACCGACTTTTCTTAATGTGGGTTAAACAGCATTTTGTCACCCGAGTGTGTGTTTACACAAAATGCACACGACAAAAATTGTTTCATTGCGTGGAATTTCTGATACGCGACCAAAACTCCAGTCATCAAATCAATACGCGCCCTTTTTACTGCCTGACTTTTATTGTGGCAAAAGCATTATTCTCCCTATTTACATTTCTGTCTTTTCAGGTCATGTTCTGCCACTAAATCGCGATGTTCGCATTCAGAAGTGGACTAGCTACTGGTCATTCATCGTCATAAAATGCGCCACCGCTTCTCATTACTGCCGATGGCTTTGAATCCTTGACGTTTATTAAACGACCCATCTCCATGCATATTTGCGGACACTTCCGTCGACGCCTTCAATGGTCTACTTATACAACAGTGCAGAACGAAAGCGCCGCAGAGCGATGAAGTGGAATATTAGGTGAGCACAATCATTAGCTCGGATTTAGCCAAAAGCTCTTTGGCGCGGCTCTGAGAATACAATCTTCACGTGAGCTTTCGCTTTTGTATCATTATTATTATCTCATTTATGGACTTAAGAGTCTGTGTAGGGGAAGGCGAGGCCTATTGAGTGTCTCCCGTGAATTTACCTTGTCTTCCTTTGCAATTCAAAGGAATAATCTAAAGTCTTGATTTCTCTGTTCGCAAAACAAGATTTCAAGTGTCAACTTTTGAGGTAAAAATACAGACTGTAACCCCATGAAAGTCGGCTTTCCCCTAGTATTTGTGCTGTTTGGTGATTCAGAGAGATTGCAGGTCTTGTCATTAGGCAAAAAATGCCATAAATCATACAAGCATTGTCGGAACGAAGCACACAAATCTGGAAATTTTATTATCTTTTTACGAACAGTATCATGGGCGGTCTCAATTTGCATATGCAATGCAAATTACATTGCGAAGGGAGGCCTGTATTTTTGTAAATTATAATTGCAGACGGAGTCTGGGTGATATAAGCGGAAAATTGGCGGCATAATTGCGCATGAGATTATTGTTAGAGTGAAAAATATACAAAATGCATTGTGACACTGTCACCACCAGGCGAGAGAGACACACAAGGTGGAGGAGAAGAAAGACAGAAGGAAAACAATTCGAGAGACTTTATTGCACGCATTTCCAAAGTATTGGCTGAAAGATTGCAAATTGAGATATTGTAACATGGACTCACGGTGAAAATACATTTCATTCAAATCGAATTATTCCTTGTGCACGTACCCATTGTTGTTTTTTATAATCTGCAGCCACTTTGCTTGCATAACTGGCAAGAGAGCTAATAGAATGTGCCCAGGAGAAAGAGGTCTATCGACGTGGTGTATAGGAATCGAAAATCGCGCCCAATGACGTTCTTCACCTCCACACAATTTTCAAAAGCCAATTGTTTCTCCTCGTGTAACGAAATTTCCTTACAACTTCTGTGGTTAGCACAAAGTGGCAAATGACTTTGGCTGCGGCAGGAAAAAAAAAACAGGGAGGCAAAAAAAGAGCAACATTTGTAATTCTAGTTGAACCAATTGATTTCTATTTGCCAATTCGGCTGCTGATTGAGAACTCCACTGTGAAGGGTTAATGAGCGCAACTGCTCAGCATTATATCACTTTCTTATTGAGTAATGTATGCGTGAATCTTAAATAAATGGGAGACAATTATAAACAAAGTGCCGGGTATTTCTCTGCGCGAGAAACACTTTCTCTTTCAGCGGTCGTCATCTTCGCAAATTGAGGGTACGTGTATATAGTCTGAAAATCGACTTTATTGCCCGAGCCCACTATATATGAACATAATGCCAATATGATCGATATTTTGTATTCCATTTATTATGGTCTGAAGCTCGCTGAGCAGGAAAAAAAACCCGCACTCTACCGTTTATTACACTGCAAAACTGCCCAGAGACACTCAAGGCAGCAAGGAGTGAGTCTTCAGCCTCAGTCAGACCTAATCCCACATCCTCTCGTGTCTTGTTCTTCTCCTCCTAAGCTTTGCACAGCGAAATCGAAATTATACTCACGTCTGTGTGGTTTGAGCTTGTGTGCCGCGTGAAATTTATGAGAATTACAATTCGCGATCGAGCCAAATGTCGAGACTCATGAGTGGGTGCCTTTCTTAAGATAAATTCACGAAACGACCTCTAAAGTATTTTACTGACTTAGAGTTGACAATGAATATTATTTGAATAATTACGATCAATAAAAGTAACACATTCGTACAAGAATGATTTGTCAAACTCTCTTGTGAGAAAATTCCGCATTATAACGTGCGATATCGTAAAACAAAATGAAGCGTTTTGCCGTGTTGTTACGAGAGAAGATGCTGTGGTGTAAGAATAATTGGAAGACACGAAAAGCACTTCACTTCCATTTACAGAATTTTATGGACTGAGCTTGAGTTCGGCACTAAAGCTAAAAAGCCATTGATAGTCACACGCTTGGCTTGACTTACAAAGAATTGCTGGCTTTTCTGAGGATCAATGTCGAATGGAGCGAGTCGAATTTGGGTAATGTGTTGAAAGAGTTAAATGAAGATGAGCTAAATCGGATAAATTATCACCAATAGATTGCTTTCATCGCCACTTTATAGCAATAATTCACCAAATTGGCTCTAATTAATTGAGATCATTTTGCAAACTCCAATAAAATCAGCCATGAACACATTATTCTTCCCCATTTTTCGCAGTCTTTCCCTGTGAATTTCCTTCGCAAAAGCGCAGAACATGTAAATCCAAGTCGGATCCGATTGTCAATTTCACGACTACACTGTTTTTTTGTCATCACAATGCTTCTTAAGCCGTGCAAGAAAGCACCGTAATTTCCTTATGCCAAGTCCCCAGCAAATATCGTGGAATATTGCGAACGCATTATGCAATTAATTCACACTTGAGACCGCCTTAAATAAGCATATTTATACAGGAACTCAATCTCCCCAAGCTGAATTCAGCATAAACAGTTTTATGGATTGGCAAAAGAGCAAAAGACTTCCTCGATCCGCTGGACATTCGATACGGAGTGCTGTGTAACTTTTGGCCTCTAACACTTTATCAATAGCACCCAAGGCGACTGTCGGAATACAGAATTTCTCCACTCTTGACAATGTATTGTTGGGCATGAGCTTGAGGAGACTCCCACACAGCGTGGTCACTCCTGATTTGAATAACAGCCAATATATACATAGGAGAGAAAATAGTGCTTTGTACATGCGAGAATAAATCTTGCCTTATTAAGTATTCGCGTTGTTCTGTATTGAAAACAAAATTATATGTAAATGGTTTAATGTTTCATAGTTTTGTTATCCTACTTCACATTTTACACTTACGGACAGTGTTCTCTCATTGGGACGCCAAAGGCTGCGAAGGGGACACACATTTCTGTCGCATATTTATGCGTCACGGCTGTCGTTTCTACAATGGCGGGAATATGAGATGATGGCTGCTGTTGCATTGAATAAGACTTCCTAGTTCGGAGAGCTCCTACATAAAATTACCACAGCTTTCTTGCAAAGTCAACATTGGTGAGCACATCTCGAGTCGCGCGCAATCGTTGCGCTGAATTGACAATAATAATTGTACTTAAAGACAAGAGGTTCACCACCAAATTGGTGTTGAGATTTGAAGGAGTTTAATATGCACAGGCAGTCATGCACACAGAGAGTTGTTTACACTTTTGCGGTTGAACTGTATCAGTTGAAAATCGATTTGATTCCTGGGCTCAACTGTTCGTGATATTTATACATATGTGTGCCGAATGTGATATTGATTCCACAGCAGAGAGTGCAGTAAAAAGAAGCCCTCACATGTTTTGTTTATTGTCTTCGCCACCATTTCCGGTGCCACTGCTCAAGATGTAGCTTCAGTCGTTCGTGAATCCCATTCGCAAAAGTTATGCTTACCAATTGTGTGGCCATCTTTGTAAGTAATCCCGCGATATCTGGATGTCCACTCTGGTCTTGTGAAATTGTGCAATCTCTCTCTCTCTCTCTCTGTGTCTCTGCATCATAACACAACACAGTGAGGTGCCTGAATTAAAGCGAGACTGTTTCAGTGAGATATCACATCACGGGAGCACAATAAAATGACATCATTATATGTACATTTTAGCAATTATTATGAGATAAATAGTGGCACTAATGGCCAATTTAAGTTTCACAGAGTGTCATGAGGAGCATTTTATGTGTGGAAATACATTTGAATTTACCTAAAGTAGAAATATTGCGATGCAAATCGCCAACATTTTATCTCTCCGGGAGTGAAATTGAGGCGATTCACAAGTACCTGCATTGTCGGCTGCGAAAGGAACAATTATGTCAAATCCCAGCCACATTTGCCCGCAATTGCAGCTAACACGCGCTCTTCTCTTGCAGAATGCACCTCTTATTATTGCTGACCGGATACATGCTGAGCCTGATATGTTTTGCATCAGCATCAGATCCGAAATTTGATCCCTCCACGAGGATGCGCCTGGTGCTGGTGCCAGCGGATGCAGCCGTGGGTAGCGTGATATATCGCATTCGTGCGACTGACGAGGAGTTCGATTATCCACTAACATTTGAACTCCTCGGCGACGCCTCGTCATCAACAGTGCAAATTGAATCACTGCCATGCACAAAGTACAATTCTGTGTGTCAGGCGAACGTGATCCTTACCAGACGCCTCGAACCTGGCAGATACTATGACTTTCAGATCTCAGTCAAGGACACGCGCGGAGGAATGGCCTCGCAGAGTTGCTCAATGTAAATTCCTCACCGAAAATATTCCCAACACGCTGCTAAAATCCAGCTAATAATTGTCTTTCTCTCTCCTCCACCAGAACGGCAACGAACTTCACCACACCGCACGATGTCATCTTTCCGCACAAGCCCGGCATCATCATGATTCCCGAGGTAAAACTCTCTCCCAACTCGTAATTATAGCGTCTCTCTAAAGCAATGATCTGACCTTCTAGGACGCCAAGCGAGGCACAGAGTTGGATTATGTAATTGCGCGCAAAAATCCGCTCTTCCCAAAGCACGTCTACTTGGAATTGTGGGGTTCCCCACTATTTGCCATTCGACAAAAAATTGTTCCTCCCGAGATGACCGAAGGCACGATCTTCTTGCTTGGGCCGCTCGACTTTGAGAAGCAGTCCATGTATCATCTCACAGTGTTGGCTAATGTGAGTATCAATTGCGATTTAAGTACTTAAACAGTGTGTAGAAATTGACAAATAATTCGAAGGGGCGGGGTAAATAGGTGGGCGGGGCTTTTCCATCACTCTCATTATTCATTCTATCTGCAGGATCCTTACGCAGAGCCTGGACAGGATTCCAGAAATATAGCAGGTCTGGAAATTGTGATTATTGTGGAGGATGTTCAGGATGTCCCACCAATTTTTACCATGGCACCACCAGTCACTCGTCTTCCAAATGGACTTCTGCCCGGAGATAAGGTAAGACAGACCCTCAAATACACTTGAGATCATTGCTGATCCTCTCCTCACTCGCTCAGATCCTACAAATTCAAGCCGAGGATGGCGACAAGGGTGTTCCTCGTGCAATTCGCTATGGCCTCGTGTCGGAGGGAAATCCGTTCACATCTTTCTTTGATATAAATGATACAACAGGTATGTATTAGACTTAAAATACCTCCGCAATATTGGCTCGATTACACTTTTTGCAATTTCCTATAAGGTGTAATCACCCTGATGAGGCCATTGGATGAAATTGCCGCTATTACTCACATCGGAGATCCTGTCTTGCTAACAGTTATTGCCGAGGAAGTTAAGGTCATGCGTGATGAACCACCCGCAATGGCTTCGACGGTTCAGCTGGCCTTCCTCCTTCCAGAGCGCGAAAATGCACCACCGTACTTCGAGAATGACCAGTGAGTGCGGCCCATTTGCACGCCACACAGACTCTATCTCTAATCTGCTCTCGATATCGCATCTTTGCAGCTATGTAACGCGCATTGACGAGAATGCTCCTCAGGGGACTGCGCTAGTATTTATTGATCCATATGTGCCACGGGTGTATGATGATGACACGGGGAAGAACGGCGTATTCTCGCTGACATTGCTCAACAATAATGGCACATTCGAAATTACCCCAAATGTTGCAGAGCGACGAGCGAGCTTCCTTATACGTGTGCGCGACAACACGATGCTAGATTACGAGAAGACCCACTCGCTGATGTTTCAGGTGGTGCAGAAATCAATTTCAATGCTGTGATCTTGATTGATGGACGAGCTTTTCAAATTTTCAATTACAGATTTTGGCCCAAGAGCTCGGCCCGGCCACAAACCTGTCAGCCATCGTCAACGTAACGGTGTTCGTCACTGATGTGAATGACAATCCGCCAATGTTCGCGGATTCCATGTACATGGCGGAATTGCCAGAGAACATGACTATTGGCACGAGAGTGGTTCAAGTGCACGCCGACGATGTGGACACAGGCGCCGGAGGACGCGTGAGATACACGCAAATCCTGGGCTATCTCAACACGTCGCTAAATCTAGATGCGGAATCAGGACTGATCATAGTGTCCACGGAGAATCACGGCTTCGATCGTGAAATAATGCCAGAATATCACTTCTACATCGAGGCGCGAGATGACGATGGGACGGGAAACAGAGCACAAGTGCCATTCGTGTTGAAGATTCAGGACGTGAATGATGAGATGCCAATTTTCGAGAAGACTCTCTATGAGTTCATCTTAAGCAACGATATGAGAGGCTTCACCACGCCCGCCTTCGTTAAGGCGGTCGATGCCGACGCCGAGCCACCAAATAATGTGGTGCGATATGAGATTATCAATGGGAATTACGAGAACAAGTTCAGACTCAACGAAGTGAATGGCGAACTAAGTCTTCGAGCGCCTCTGCCAAAGATTGGCATCACTTCGGACAATCTGGGCGAGTACGAGTTAACAGTGCGCGCCTTCGATTTGGGCGTTCCCGTTCAGTGGTCAACAACAGTCATCCGAGTCTATCCGCCGGAGAGCAGGAAGAGGACGATGGTCTTCGTCGTGCCAGGAAGCAATCCGGACATTCAAAAGACAGAGGAAACGCTCTCTGCCATAACAGGTGGTCGAGTCACAATCCACAACATCCGACCTTACACGGGAAATGAGATGGGCTTGACACCAATCAATGGAGATTCCAGCAAAGACAAGTGAGTTGAAATCAAGTAATTTTGTTTGTTAAAAAGTTTGTTCAATGAGTATATCTTAAAATCCCAGTCTCCTTTAAGCAAAGCTTTTATCCAAATTCTTATTTCTTTCTCAGGAGTGTTGTCACTGCCTTGGTTTTATATGACACCAACTCAATTGTGGACATTTCGAAAATACAGAAGAGATTGTCAGAAAGCAACATAACAGCAGGGATTATAAGTTACGGAGACGCTGAATATACGGTATGAGAAGCATTGCTAGATAGTTTATAAATCAATTTTCTGACGCTCCTTGACTTTTCAGAGCACCCAGAAGTCTGAGAATCGTCTCCTCTTCTGGCTCCTTATATTTCTGGCCCTCCTGATCGCTCTTCTCATATTGACCCTCATGTTCTGCTTCATTTGCTCCTGGTGTCCACTCTACGGCTTCTCAAAGTAAGTGCAACTGCGTTGACAGACTTTTATCTTAATTTCCTATAACTCTTGCTTCCTTATCTCTTTTGTAACTGCATGATTTTGTTATCAAAATGTGCCCAAATGTTCATTAATTCTTTTTTACAATAATTAATTTACATAACAGGGGGATATTTTGGATGTCTAATACAAGGAAAACAAATTAAAATGATTTATCCTTTTGTGATTGAAACACTTTTCCCTTAGTCTATATAGTCAAAAAGCATTTTCTAGTCTAAAATTCCCTCTTGTTATTTGGAGTTACATTCACGAATTTGATTGCACAAATTAGTTTTATACTCCATTTATCATGTCAATTGATTATGTCGAACGAGTACTATAAATTTATCATTTCCTTTTCTTGTAGAAAAAGAGTAATTAGGGTCAGTAGTACAGAAGACGATGTTCATCTAGTACATAGAGATAAGGGAAACACAAAAGAAACAAAATCTGTGCAGGTAGTTAGCCGTCAAACATTATCTATTTATGCAATATTTTTAAAAATATGCTCTTAAAATTACTAATTTTTCATAGTTAACTCTTAAATTCGCATTAAGATATTTCCTTTTATCTCACCGTCACGTAACTTTTGCCCAATTCTGCAACCGAGATAGGAGATTAACAATGCTAAGTTGAATCTCATCAGTACTTTCAATATAACAAGGCTTGCAAGTTAGCCTAACTGCTAAGTTTAATCCAGAGATCTTGATTTCCTTATCATGGTTGCAGAGTTGCAAAGAATTATGGGATGTTGACTAAAATGTCTCCTTTTCTGGCGAAACTAGGTGGCCGAGTGGATGGGTAGAAGGGAAGCATGGTCAGCAGATAAGTCTTCAGATTCCCGAACTAAACCAACGCGGTGGGAGTTCTCCCGTCGACACCACCCTCGTGAAAAACTAGAGAACGACACTCAAGTGCACATGGAGCAAATGCAAACTAGTCAGTCAAATACACGACCAAAATCCTATGAGGATCATCATACAGAGAAACTAACGTAAGGAGCACACAAAAATCACAGTAGATGAATTACTAATGAATTCTGTGCATTCACAGCCGGATCAGAAACGAGCTTCGATCGGCAAAGCAGATGAGAGGCCATCAGACTTCTCGATCCAATCTCATAAGCAAGCGAGAAGAGTACATGGAGGAAGGGATGCATGAGCAGGACTACGAAAGAATGAGTGATCGACACCAGATTGACGATGACTCGATGAGGCGCCATGAAATGGACAGAGGAAGTGACATTGCCTACAACATGCGTCATCAGATGACGCGAGACGAGGATCCGCGCGAGCAGTACTTCATAAAAGACGGGAATGCGGAGATTCTGCGTCTCGTGACGCGAGGAAAGCCCAATGCGGAGAATATTTACGTAAACTTGCCGCAGAGACAGAACGAGAACGCGCAACAGCCGCAGTACATCGTGGTGGACAATGGCGGCGGTGGCAAAGAGATCCTCATGAGGCGATACATTGAGGAGCAAGCGAATGGAAAACAGATCATAAGGGAGCACTATCAAGTAGTTCCGGAGCCGAACTTTGTGCAGTCGATACCCAACGAGGTGATGCAGCAGGCGCCACAGCAGATGACTCACGTGCAGCAGCACGACGGCGGGAGTGTGACGATGGAGAAGGACGAGCAGATGCTGCACGCAACCTCGCACCATTCCCTCATTCAGCAAGAGTTGGAGAACTCGCTGAAGCAACAGAACGCTCTGTTGCGACAGATTTTGCTGGAGAAGGAGAAACTGGAGGAGAGATACAATCAGCAAGAAGCAGTTCTCGAAACTCAGAGCTTGCCATGCAACTCCATGACAATAGCCACTCAGACGAATTGCAACACGGCAACACAGACGGAGCCTGAGTTCCACAAAGCCAAGCAAGAGCGAAGGCGCACCAGGAGTGAAAATGACGACTCAATGTCTGATGATGACTACGAATACGTGAGATATAGTCCACCAGACTCTCCGCAAGGCGTCTACTGGATGAAGAGGAAGAAGAAGAAGTCTAAGAGTCGCTCGGAGTTGGACAATCGCCATAGACGTGTGATAATGGTGAGTGCGGTGAAGAGGAAGATCCGAACGCCCATCCAGGAGGAGAACGAGGAGTCAAAGTCACCTCAGCAAACTGACGAGGGCAAGAGTCAGAAGCAGTACAAGAACAAATCCATATTGGTGTCTCCACTCAACAAATCTCTTCTGGTTGAGATATCAGAGTCGCTGGACGAGAAGAAGATTGTTCCTAAAGTGCAGCAGCAAATGAAGAAGTACAGTGGAAAGTCCTTGGCGAAGAATGTGTCGGACATGAAGTCAGAGCCCGACTCGTCGGAGAACGAAATTGTCTTGCATCACTATTCAGCTGAGAGTCTGGATGAGCGATCGGATGTTGAGGAAGTGGAAATCAAGTGCTCCAGACGCAAGGATCCGCGGACAATTGTGTTCTCTCGACGAGAATCATTGTCCGATGTTAAGGATCTGGCTCTGATCGATGCTCTGGAGTCGGAAATAGCGAGAAAAGCCAAGCGTCAATTGGCTTCGCAGCAAAGTGGTGCAGATACGAATGAAGGCAATGCAAGATTGTCGCGTTCGGATCACAGAAAGGGGAAGAGCGAAAGTCAGCAACGGAGACAGACTGCCTCTGAACCACCGCAAGGCAGAAGCAGCAAAGGACCTGCGCCAAAACCACCGGATCAGAAGCGTAACCTGAAGAAAACCTCTTCAGATGGCAGCAAAACGCAGAGTGAAACGGACATGCTGAAGAAGATCAATGACGAGACGCTGGACATTTCCAAGCCGGTGTCGAAGTACATGGACTGGTATTACAACATGGAGAAGGACGACAGCGGAAGGGCGGACAAGGCTCGGGCGAAGGGCAGTACGAAGAAGCCCGTGACGAGTGTTGAGAGGGTGAAGAAGAAGGGCTCACCGATCAGTGCGCGGTCAGAGAAGATGCAGGACGGCAAGCAGGACCCGTCGCAGCGGAGAGACGCGCGCCTGCTGAAGGAGGACATTCAGAAGGCGAAGAGCCTGCAGCAGAAGAGTCAGGAAGATGGTAACCACGCTCTTTTACAACATTCGGAGTATCGTTTTGAACATGAATACATTCCCGCTCCTTCCATTTCAGCCCCACCCACCCAACTGGGACACTACTTGTATCCTAAAACACCACCTCAAGCCAATCAGAAAAGTCAAAAGAAATCATCAAAACACCCATCCTCTCCCATCCGCGAAAGCGAGGTGAAAGACACTAAGTACAAACCGTATAACGTAGACGAGTCGAAGCAATTGAACGTGGCAACTCTGGAAGACGATCACGATTCCGGAATTGCCATGAACTCATTCCTCAACAGTATGGGACGCAAGCATCCCATCACTGACAAGAAGAGTGTGTTCACAATTGCGTACGACGAGGTGAAAGTAAGTAAGCTCCGATCAGAGAGTGAATCATCACCAGTTTCATAGTCCTTCTATCCTATGTTCTATACAATCTTTACACCTTTCTTTTGTGTCATTATTGCGAAGATAAGGAAGAGAATAGAGGCGAAAAGCTCAGTTGTAGTCTTCCCATTTTGTGAGATAAAAATGAAACGAAGTTTTGTAATGCCATGAGTTGTTCAGAGAAACGAAATTATGAGATTTGTATTGCACACGGTTAGTTACCATCTGTTTTTTGAACTTTGAATTTGCGCATTGAATTTATACGTTCTCGTTGACACGATTTTTCCTTAAGAAGCATTGTATATTTAATTACTAAGTAATCATACTTGCAGGAGGCAAAACACACTTAAAGTTTATGTAAATTGTGAATTTTATATTTTATATTATGTGTTGATAAACTCGAAAAATACCAGACTGCCACTTATTGAAGAGTAAATTATACAGAAGTGCAATTACACTTAAAATTTAGCAATAAATGGTAATATTAATGCGATCAAAACAGTGTTTTAAAACTCCAACGCAGATTCTTTTGCATATTTCAGCGATTGGAGCTACGATCAAGGCTTCGGATAATGCAGGTAAGTGTCTTAATTGCTTAGTTTTATTCCTTACTTCAATCACGAATACGTGTTTTACATTAGGACGGCTGTGGCTCAGTGGTCAACACGCTTGACTCTCGACGCTACAGTCGTGTGTTCGAATCCCACCGATTGCAAATGTTCGAACACAGCAGAGTGCAAAAAATTAAGCTTTTCAATGGCAAAATTAGATCAGCCCAAGCGATTGCTGTTGAATGTTCCAGCTGAACCCATACGATTCACTGGAATTGTTTTGCGCTCTGCCCTGTGTAACGAGATAGTCTGTACGCAACGATTACTGACAAGCTACTGACTTTATTAATATAAGTATTTGCATGACAGTTCATTTCATTACACCCTGTATGTGTAAAGAAAAGGTGGGGGCGTTAGAACCACTTATGGGTTGTGGTCGGCAAGCTGACAATCTGCCACCGTAAAACAAAACTTAATTGTACCGAGAGTTGACCCCCGGACAAACGGGGATAAAACAGACAAAAGAATAGATTTATTACTATCTATACTCACTGTGATGAGCTTGAATGCAGCCATTGATCATTGTCATCGTATTCTTCTTCGCTCTGAGCAGCTCCGCTGTTTCCAGGAGCTCCGCGCTTCAGGCCGGGAGGAATGGCCATGATTTGTTCCTCCCGCATATATCGCACGATTTCTGCGATGTCCTCAGCAGACATGTTGCAGACCATGGATATATTGATGTACTCGGCTGCCATCAGAATTTCTATTACTCTGTCAAAGATTCTCTGATCGCAGCCCTCGTCCATGGCCTGCATCACTGCACGCTGATTGTCATCCTGCAAAACATGAATCAAATATTAGTCAAAATCCGATGGAAATTAGATAAATAAGTTGCGAGGAACAAAGCCACACTCATGTCGGAGATTAAGAGTTTTTTTTCATGCATTCTGGGCAGTTAAGGATAATTTCCAATACTATTACAACTGTTATTTAAGGAATGGGAACCATTTTTCTCCCACTTGAATAACCCTTGGTTATCACTCATTTACCTTCAGTCATTTCTTCAATTTTTACAGTTTCATACACAATCGAATAAATTTTCAAATTCATTCACCTATAAATTCTGTACGACGTGGTAATATTTTCTTTCAGCTGGACGCGTTCGGCTGGGTTCGAACCACTTTTTGCTTACTGGGCGTTGAAGGTCATTAAAGGTTGGACAAGTCAGTGGTTTTTGGCGTTGAGATCCAGCTTCACGTTTCCTTCAGTAACAGGTGAATTTCCTGGCGATTTCGCAATAATCCTCCCCATTTTCATTGACCTCTTCTCTGGCCAGCAGACAGTGAACACTTTGTGGAAAATGGGTCGTCGATTCTGCGTTGGAGGCAACTGGAAGATGAATGGCGACAAGGCCACCATCACTGAGATTTGCAAGAACCTCTCCTCTGGCCTGGATCCCAACACTGAGGTCGTGGTGGGCTGTCCGGCACCCTACCTGCAGTTCGCCAGGTCCTTGCTGCCTGCTAGCGTCGGCGTGGCCGGCCAGAACTGCTACAAAGTGGCCAAAGGCGCCTTCACTGGCGAAATCTCGCCGGCGATGCTGAAGGACGTTGGCGCGGATTGGGTCATCATTGGCCACTCCGAGAGACGTACAATCTTCGCCGAGAAGGACGACCTGATAGCCGAGAAGGTAACTCACGCCCTGGCCGAGGGACTCAAGGTGATCGCGTGCATCGGCGAGACGCTGGAGGAGCGCGAGGCTGGCCAGACTGAGGCTGTCGTCTTCCGGCAAACCAAGGCTCTCGCGGGAGCCATCAAGGACTGGACAAACGTTGTCATCGCCTACGAGCCCGTGTGGGCCATCGGCACGGGAAAGACTGCCACGCCTGAGCAGGCTCAGGAAGTCCACCAGGCGCTGCGCAAGTGGATCTCCGAGAACGTCTCCGGCGCCGTGGCGGAAGCCGTTCGCATCCAGTACGGAGGTTCCGTGACGGCCGGAAACTGCCGAGAGTTGGCCTCCAAGCCTGACATCGACGGATTCCTGGTCGGCGGAGCGTCTCTGAAGCCTGAGTTTAAGGACATCGTCAACGCCAGACAATAAGAAAGCAAATCATAATCGAGATTCACACGGATTTAACTGTGCAAAGCATAATCACTACAAGTGAATTTGGAGAATAAAAGTTGAATGTTTCAGTAAAACATGGACTTGTCCTTGGAATGTTGCCGTTTGTGTCGCACGACGGTTCCGCGCGAAAAGAGGGGTTTTTCTAGCAGTGTGAAGTGGGCCGCAGTTGGAGCGTAAATGTCAGAGGCAAAGTGTGAAAAAATCAGAGAAAAACATTATTTCTGGAACACAGGAAACGATAATTGTGTTCAATCATGGTAAAGTATCGCGGCGAGAGCGCGACGCCTCGTTCGCCATTGTGGGAGTCTCACTGATTTCTGGACATTGCAGAATTTCCTGGGTTTTGGACAATCCGCTGACTTGGACATTGTGTTCGATGGGGCCGATTCGAGGAAGATGGCTGAGATCAAGACGGAGGACGGCAAGAAGGAGAAGTACCTTCTCTACTACGACGGCGAGACCGTGTCCGGGAAGGTGAACGTGACGCTGAAGAAGCCGGGCAGCAAGCTGGAGCATCAGGGCATCAAAATCGAGCTCATCGGCCAGATCGAGCTGTACTACGACCGCGGCAATCACCATGAGTTCCTGTCGCTGGTCAAGGAGCTGGCGCGGCCGGGCGACCTCATCCAGAACAGCAGCTACCCGTTCGAGTTCGCAAACGTGGAGAAGCCCTACGAGGTGTACGTGGGCTCCAACGTGCGGCTGCGGTACTTCCTGCGCGCCACCGTCGTGCGGCGCCTCAGTGACATCATCCGGGAAGTGGACATCGCCGTGCACACGCTGTGCAGCTACCCGGAGGTGAACAGCCCCATCAAGATGGAGGTGGGCATCGAGGACTGCCTGCACATTGAGTTCGAGTACAACAAGTCCAAGTACCATCTGAAGGATGTGATCGTGGGCAAGATCTACTTCCTCCTCGTCCGCATCAAGATCAAGCACATGGAGATCGCGATAATCAAGCGCGAGACGACGGGCTCGGGGCCGAACACCTTCACGGAGAACGAGACAATCGCCAAGTATGAGATCATGGATGGGGCGCCGGTGCGGGGCGAGAGCATACCGATAAGAGTCTTTCTGGCGGGCTACGATCTCACGCCCGCCATGCGTGATATCAACAAGAAGTTCTCCGTCAAGTATTTCCTCAATCTCGTCCTCATGGACACGGAGGATCGCCGGTACTTCAAGCAACAGGTAAGCCACATCCACACTCCTCACCGGATGCGCTGCTCACGCGGTCTCATTGCAGGAAATCACGCTGTGGCGGAAGGCGGAGAAATCCAGGAAGTCGTCGGCGGTCGCGCCCAACAATCCCCATGTGCCATCTCACCTGGTTGGCTCAGACAGTGATATGGCGCCCAAGGCGCTGCAGAGCGACGCCGGGCAGAACTTGGACACCTCGCCTGCGCCGCCAATGGATCCGACCGTCGGCCTGTTCACCCAGGAGAGCCCCCAGAATGGTGAGAAGTGTGCCCACGGCGAAGCGCCCAAGCGAATCTCACAATGCGCGCGTTTATTTGCAGAAACCAAACCCACGGAATCGCCCACATTTCATGCGGAGAATGATAACAGTGAATCAGCACAATCCACAAATGATCTGCCACTGCCGCTGGATTCGCCGGACTCAGCAGAGCAAAACCCGTAGGAGGACAACAAAAGTAGAACAATAATGAACTGAATTGGTATACAAAAGATAGCGAGGATGCGTGAATCTGAATATCCGCAGTGTTGAGGAGGCGATGCGAGTGATGAGAGCATTATACATACAATAGTGGCGCCGCCGGAGGAAAGAGAGAGAGCATGTTTGGAATGTAAAGAGACGATCGCGTAGCACTAATATCTGTATAATAATTCCAGCAGTAAATATATTGACACAATCTGGAAGTGAATATCTCGCTACGAAGGGAGGAAATGTCTTGCGATGGTTGTTCAGTTGAGAGGTGAGAAGTGACTTTTTTCTGCTCAGGAAGAGATCTCAAAGGCAATAATCTAATACTTTAAACTACCATGGAAAGCAAAAATATGTTTGTATTAAATTTCTCAATTATTTTCATAAATCAATGAAGCATAATTTGGAGAATATTTCCCAATTTCGCTCTTCTTCTGAACGTAGAAACCAAGATTTTCAAACTGATACATTTTCAAAGGTGTGAACAGCTTTATTAAACATACTTATTCGTCACTTCTATTAACATTAATAATGATTTTTTCACAGGTAATTTAGAAAATCACGAACGATAATAAAAGAAAATTGACAAAGAACCCTAAGAAATGAAGCAGTTTATAATCTAAGAAAAAGAACCAATAAAGTACTTTGATTGCCAGTATGAAAGTCTGGAAGACGTTAGCAGAATATTTTACTGAAAATATTCCAATTAAGCACCTTCTTTTGATGTAGTTCCTACCTTGGTATTAACATTATCCAAAGAAATTGCAAAGATAGTCTTTAAAAAACTCAATCTCCGTATGTTTGATATTTTTCTCATTTATTATTATGTTTGTATTCATACTCTTAGAATGTCAATATCTTTTGAAACATTCTTGTAGAGCTTCTTTGACGCAGAAACTCGAGCAGCGCTCAAAGAAAGTATGCAAAATAGTGAGAAGATGTTGAATACGGACGATAAGAAGGTGATAAGACTTACTTTTGTGCTGAAGAACGTGAAGAACATTTCTTCGTAGTGCTAGAAAATGAGATGAATGAAATCTACTATTTCCAGGTCATTTCTTTGGCTTCAATTTGCCTCTCGTCGAGCTTTCTGTTCTCGAACGAAGCTCGAAAGTGAGAAAAGCAATCAGACAACTTCCAAAGGTATGCGAATCAATATTATTCAGAGTTTACTCAATAGAGATGAAGATGTGATGGATGTGATTGTATAAAATCACAAATTGCTAATGCTAATATTCCTGTTGCGTATCATTTTCACCTCCGGCGCCTCTAATGATCCGTCTTTGTGTGCTTGCGAAGAAAGAAAGTGAGAGAGAGGTTGAGGAGGCTTTTATGGGTTGTAAGAAATCAGGTGTATTAAGTCTGAGGTAGAGATTAAGAATATATGGTCTAACTTGTGTGGATACAGAGATGAGGATATAAAAAAAGCGTATATGCGAAGCCGCCCATGACTAATAAAAGAGCTCATTGTACTAAAAGCCCAGGTTAAAAGCTCTTTCTCTCATCTGCCTTGCACTAACTGGAATTCTGCATTACTGGAATTTACGATGAGCTCTTGTGGCTTAAAATTAAAATTTCTCTCTGGGCCAGAGGCGGTGTTTGTCTTGCAAATATTTGGGGCGTCTCTTGGGTAATCATTCTTCGTTAGAATTCCAAATCCCGAATCGTCTGTGAGTCGACAAGTGAGATTATGTACAGCTGGAAGTTGAGGCGCATTAGGACACACAATCTGGCTCAGGACACACCAAATATGCATGAGAGGGTGGACTTCCTTCGCACACACACTCATCATCGTCAAATTATGCAAAGTGGGCGCCCCGTGGAAGATTGCCATGGCGAGCGACATGAGATATTTGCGTCTAGTTTTTCGATTTCACATTTGACTCCATCGAATTTATGCGCTCTCGCAGGAATTTTCCACGCGCGCGATGCAAATCTGAAATAATACACACGCTGGGTGGACACTGTTTGGCATCAGATTCGTCCTGGGGGAAATTTATTCAACTCGTGCAATTTACATAAATTAAATATTTAATAATAATTCACGTTTTCCCATCACTTTAACTGCACATGATATTTTTATTCCTATCTCACGCCTCGGAAACGCACCAGCAAATGCCCAATTTATTTGCACAAATTAACATTGAGTAGTGAATTTCTAGCAATCAGAATGAAACTACATATCACAATTAAGAGTGGCCAATTTGTCACGCAAATTTGTTCATTTTTGCAGTGCTTCTCAAATTTCTCACAATCGGAAAATTTCTTCTCCGTTGACAGTATTTTCACAATTTCACGAATGAAATTTGCTGATTCCGTCGAACACTTCTCCTTGGCTTCGTTGTACACGCAGGACTCGTAATCACGTCTGTTGCTGTGGAATGGAAAAAGAAGAGAGAGAGAGAGAAAATATGTAAGGACTTATCCGCAAATCTTCTTAGGCTTCCCATGTTTTGATTGGACTTTCAAGTGGGCACCGGAGTAGATTGATAAGCTGCAGTATTTATCAGCTCTCCTTCGCACCTCCATTTCATCCAATTAATTCTATTTTCGTGGCTATCTCCTGGGCGTGATCGCAAGCACGCGCTCCGCTTAATAAAGTGGCGGACAGGAAAGAAAAATTTGACTAGCCAAATTGTGACTTCTCTAAATAGGCCCATAATTTACCCAGAGATATTTCCTCCAGCAAACACTCTCGCCATGGAATTTGGCACATAATTAAATTCTCACCCGAAATCCAAGGCATTACCATGTCCAAAAAGCAGTCTTTACACCCAAGGACAATAATGCCTGAGCGCCCTTCAACCCCTATTTTGCCTCCTTGAACACACTTCACGCGGGATTTCGCCGCCTTTGAGACAATTTCCATAATATTACACGTTCTGAGAATGTGGATACATTTCTTAATTCATCGGCACTTGTGGAGAGAAAAAAAAACCACGCTCAGCTCTTTGTGAAGATAAACATGTTAAACACGCAAAAATGTTACACTGAATGTGTATTTTCTCCTTGCTTTTTAAGAGTCTTCCGTTTTCGGAACTCCTAAAAGCGGCAAATTGAGTTTGATATTTCAATATTTTTCGCTTTACATGCGGATATTTATAAATATGTATTGTTCCTTTTATACCACGAGCTTCAGAATAATAATGGTTCTCGCGCTTCCCCGTGGCAATTTGTGCATTCCTCTCTCTCTATTAATTTAATACATAAAATTGATGTTTAACCAATTCTATTGATCAATTTCCCCGGAAGCTTTATGACTTCGCGCTAAAAACGCAAATTAGATGCTATTTTGTCAGAGAATGAAATGAATGTGTGCAGAGCTTTTATCTGGTCGGGAAATTAATTCACAGCTTAATGAAGTCATTAGGCGAATGGCAGTGAGACTCACCAGCAGAAGTCGACGTAGCGCTTTTGGGCGGCTTCCTCGGAGAAGTGCTTGCTGATGTCCTCCTTGATTTCGCGCACGAACTTCTCCGAGCACGCGTCCCAGCGCGGCCGGATGCTGATGATGCAATCCAGGTGCTTGAGGAAGTCCTTCTGGAAGCCGCGATTGCGGCAGAGATGATCGTACAGGTGCCTGGCGCCGTGGATTTCGCTCTCTATGATCTTCCGCTCGCGCTGGTCAATGCACCGCGTCAGATAATCGTCCGTGCACTTCATTCCGGTCACGAAAGCCCTGCACGCGCGAAAAGGTCAGAAGGGGATGTATTTCAGCGGAAGTAATGGCTGGAAAGCTCACATGAGAGCTTCATATCTGGATGCTGGGAAAAGTTGAATGGTTTTCGCGTGCAGAGCTGCACTCAGAGAAATTTGTGGTAGCATTTATCATGTTAACAATATGGTTTTAAAGCTCAGTAGAATTGTTAAGAGTGTAAAATTCCCATAAAAATTTTAACAATTTCACAAGTTTAGCTGCCGAGTGGACAGAAAGTATGAACAGGGTTTCAATTTTACTACTTTCCTTTTCCAGGAAGAGTCAAAAAAGGTAAATTCAGGGAAAACATCAGTTTTTTGTAAATTATAAAATCACTTCAAAATTGAAAATTAATGTAAACTCTAAAAAAACGATTTTCTATAATTATCCTTTCTTGGTACAGAGTTTGGGTCCAAAAAAAATATTCGGAGCGATTCCTATTAAAATTGCGAAATGTCAAACTTTAAATATGTTAATTTTAACATTCAATATGAAAAAGGAAATGTACGGCTTTTTTCTTTTCACTGAAACAGTGTTTTAGTGTTAGGAAGTTTTACGCGATTCCATATTGTGTAAAAGAAGGAAAATGGTGAAATTAGGCAATATTAATTAAATAAAAGAAAATAATCAGTAAATCTTTGCAAATTATTCTGTAGTTTCCGATATGTCAAGCTGCTTTTTACACATTTCTTAAAACAATTTTTGAATGACAGTTTAAAATAACACATTACGGCAGTACAAATTTGCTTAAAGCGGGTTAAACAGAATGGAAATAACACAAGTGTTGTCAGTTAAACTAATGACTGTTTTAAACATTTCTCTCTTTTCAGTGGGAATTGTTCCAATTATCAGCGTGTTAACATGAGCGATGTTTCAGCGATTTATTCCTCTTTCATTTGGCATTGAACAGCAGTAAAGAAAGGCAAGATAACTCTGATTACCCAGAATCTGGTTTCAATGGGCGCAAATATGCTTTTACACTACTTGCTTCCAGAGATCTGCTTTTCCATACAAAAGCACCCTAGAATGTCGTACCTATGAGCTTCTGTAATTAGGCGACACAGAGCTTCAATGATCTGAATTTCAACCCTTTATACAGGTGGATTCCGGGTATTTTCATTCCATCATGCTGGGAAATTTTCGTCTCATACACAAAATATTAGTGAACATGTCCTCGTTGCGGGGAAAAACGACAAATTGTGTATACTTTAATACTCCACTGAGATATACAACCCCACAATTTGCGATATGGAGTTTCCTGGCAGCAGTTTTGGGGCTAAAGTGGGAACCGAGAGCAGCGCTGTGTCGCCCGCAGAAGCGACTGATTCACTTCTAAAATGTTTTTTTGATACTCACGAGCAAACTTGATGGATCTCTTGGAGAGACTGCGGAATCTGGCGCTCCAGGGAATTAATATCCTTCATGCAGAAATCCAGACTTTCTCGGGGTTTTCCACATTTTGGATCCAAAGTCTCGGAGGCTGAAATTTTTACACACCAGCTGAGCTTTCAATTATCAGCAAAGGACACGTCCTCATTTGACAGACTTTGAGCGAATTCACTGGGGAATTCACTTAGCGCGCGGAAAACTCAATTGCGAGGTGGGACGCGAAGGCCAAATTCAATATTACTGAGACACTTACCAGCGATTACGTTGAGGAGTGTCGTTGTGATAAAAAAGGAAGGGAGGATGAAGAATGAGTAGAAGAATTTCATAATGATGCCGTTAAAAGCCTCAGGGCACATAAATACACTCTTCTCTTGTGTTATTTTTTTCAATAAAGCGACCCAGGCGAAAGAGGACGTCACAATGGAATATCCTTGGAACCACAAACAGCCTCTGTCAATTCGTCAATGGATTTGATCAATTAAGTGCGTATCAATTCCATTGTAATGCTATACCGCTTTCCACTCCTCTGGCACAGGACAAAACCGATACACTTTCCCAGCCAAGTCCGCCAAGTCGAAAACACCACGAGGTTTCTGACCGTGAAAGAGCTGCGGAGCTGCCGAAAAGCACGTCCGTGCGGAGCGACGAAGAGTGTTGAACTGATGCTGTGCTTGATTCATCTTCGCATGGCAAAGCGCTGGAGCCTCTTCTCCACCTTCGCACCTCAATCGCGCCGGAGCTTTCGCCCCAAAATGCTATTTCCCATCATATTTCTCCCACAAAGTGGCCCAAAAGGCGAAGAAAAGTGGGGTGGCCTGCCTTAGGTGGTCCATGATTCATTCTGGGGGCGATGCGGGAAAAATTTATTACACGAAATTTGTAATTTTCCTCCCCATGCAACACGCTCACCCATCTTTGGCATGCAAAAAACATCTTGCAGAGACAAGGAGAATTATGTGGTCATGCCAAGACAACTGCGTAAATCCTTTTCTGCTAAATTATCTCACTTTCCAGAGAATTGAATGAGACTTGAAGAGAGGAGAGCTTTGGAGGAATGCTGAGAATTTGAATGATGCCATTTCATTCGTGAAATGCCCAGACATTTGATACATTCCAAATTATCTACGCACTTTTCGTCGTAACAAAAAGAGATCACCCGAAGAGCATGAAAAACATGGGGTTATGAAATGGCGACTATTTGAGAAGTATTTCTGTTTATTTGCCCTTTTATGCTCATCATAAGGGAATTTTATGTTTTGTCATTTCCAACATCGCTCCCTAAATAGGATTAGACACCAAATTTGACACGTACGAGAATCACTAGGACATAAATATTTTTATTGTATTACATTATAAGGTGGCGCAGGACAATTTTTCATGAATATAAATCGTGATCTTGGGATACACCTTGTCTCCTTCGCACGTACGCTCGTTTAATGTGACTTGGGGCAAGATTGGCTATCTGGGCGAGGAGATTATCTAAATGCCCCTGATTTTAATTTGATACGACATAATATTCAATTAAAATTTAATAGCTGGAATTTCCGGCTACAATTTGAGGCATGATTTGACATGTATGACTGGGGAAATTGGCAAAGTTACGGTCGCTATTTATGTAGTCTTCAACTCAACAATATTATGAACTTACTGACAGACTCAGCAAATGTCCTAAACGTCGACTATTACCTTTTATTATCCTTATTTCTGTTTTATTTCCATGTTTATGATTTTTTGTGCAATAAGTTTTATATGCTGCTTAGCTTTCTAGTCATGCATAACATCATTTATAGAACTAAAAAATTAAGATTCTATACAATCTTGCATATTTTTTAATTTCAAACTGTGAAAAGTTACCTTTTCATAATTTACACCGTAGATTTTTCCTAAGAAAGCTTTCTTAACCTGCAGTAATCCGTATAAAATCACTCTTTGATAAACATCCTTATTTCAGATTTCCAGGATATTTCTGAAATATTCATAGACTTTAAATAAGAAACTTTAACATTTTCTCATTTGGGAACTTTGAAAAAAAAAGTGGCGTAAAGTATAAAAAGTTGATTTATTAAAATTTATTTGTATCAAATGAACTTAAAGCTTATTTAAAATCGATTTTTGGGCGCAAATATTTACAGTTTATCTATTAACTTTGTAATATTATATGCAAAATTCCAATAAATACCAGTAAAATCAATTGAAACATTTACAGGCAATAATTAACACTTTATAGAATAATTATCGGGTTTTTGAGTTAAAATTCCGCAAATTATGCAGCGAAATTAACGATAAATTTTCAACTTGTTCGCCTAAAATATTACAATTTGGATTTTTTAGTTTCGATTCACCCGTCAATCAACACTATAATTACAAAATTTCTCATTTTCTTTCAAAAAGTAATTCAACAAGTATATTATTACAATTTAATTTTAATTCCACAAACATTTGTGCATTTCGAGAAAAATTGAATTCAACGAAGTGTCTGAAAATACTTTGAAATTGATACAAATAGAAAACACTTTCAATTCAATAAAATGCTGTATAAATGATGAATTATTTTATGGACGCTTTTCATTCAATTCCCAGAACGACGAGCAGCCCGAGCTTCTCTTCGTCCAAATCTTTCTGTACTTCCCACCGGAAATGACTTTTCTCTCGTCCATTTCGTGGTAAATTTCTTTTTGCCAACTCTCCGTTGTTCCTTTTTGCATTCGGAAGAACGGGTTATTTGTAGTTCTGAGCATTTTGTGCAGCGACAACAACACATTTTCATTTAAATTTTGGCACAGTCACCCATAATTAACTTTTTTCCTCGCCGGCCAAACTTTGCGGGGCGCAATTCATTCTGCACGTTGCCACAAGTGTAGCGAAAAGGGTTGAACACGCGGAGAAATCGCATGATTAATATCGTACTGTGACACTGGGCATGAACTCATGTGCGATGGTGTAATCTAAAATAAAAACAATGCGAGTTATTGGGAAAAAAAAGTCACTCTGAATTTACCAAAGCATGAGACACATTAATTTGCACAGTCAATATATCATATTTAATACTTCGGCCTCTTTATTATTTCAGCCCCGGGGAAAATTGTGGGCTTGTTAATCAATTTTGGGGCTGGCAAAGCGCGTCACTCCCAGCGTCGCTTCCAACGGGGAAGAGACTTTATGTGGCAATAATTTATAATATACAATCATTTTGGGGCTAATTTGTTTCGCAGATTGATTTTAATTTATCGATAATTAATTTTTAACGTTGCGTCGCTTCCGGACAAAGGCAATTATTTAAAGTTTCTCGTTCGCTGGCAATTTCCGAGATGGAACTTTTGTGTCAGTCACTATTCGCCTGAAGAAAGCCGGCGTCTTTTTCGGCAGCATTGTTGGGTGGAAAGTGTTTAACCCCAGGGCGGAAAGGGTGGCTTTTTTTACCATACACGATTTAATCTGACAAAGACCATGTATTATATCAAGACTGAATCAACAAAAGTGCCTATATAGGATTTCTTTGCGCTCCTTCCTCGGAGCGCCGTTGAGGATGATACTTGAAAATGTGGCGTGTTTTTATTGAACTTTCCGCACATACATTTTCAGCAGGTTCAGCAGAGTGAAGCGCATTTATCTATTCTCAACAAAAGGGCGAGCACAACGCAAAAAGGCCAGATCAAATGGCGAAGAACATGAATTTCTACTTTTCTGTCGGAAGTTATGATTTATTCCATCCAACCTTGAACCCGCGCGGGTTTTCAGTGCATTTGTTGCAGAATGCGAGATTTCCCGCGCTCTGAAGTCACCGAATTTCCAGCGCAATTCAAACTGGCGAAAAGCGAAATTAGTGTTGACTTCAGGGATGACTCTCACCTTAATTGAAATTGATGTTGCTTAAGCTCCCCTCGTTGTAAAATCGCCCCCTGGGGAAGTGGTTGAGTTACTGGCGTGAATTTGCTATCATATTCATAGCTCCTGTTGCTAAGTCTCCTCATCCATCCTGAAAATTGACAACTCTCTCGCATAATTAATGTAAAACACGAGAGACTTGACCGTGCAATTTAATGCAATGTGACATATTCATTAGTTTCACATTCAAGCGATGGATTCAGTGGAAATTTTGCTGAATCTGCTTAAAATTCACCACGGCAAAGGATGAAATCGTGTGAAAGAATTCTTGATACGGATTAAATTTAGATCATGGCGCTATAAATCGTCGAATTTGCCCACTTGGACAATTTCAACATTCTCACAATCGGAATGCGGGAGGCATGATGAAATTGTCTGTCGATAGAACCAACATTATTCTATAGCTTTTCGTGTTAAATCGGTTTTCCAGAGTAAATTACTGGTTTGTGAAATATTTGCTTAAAACTTTGTTGTCCGAAACTCTTCATTCACGATATTAAGCTGAAAATCGATATGAACATAATTACAATCTGTACATAAAAGCTTGATTTCTGCGAGCCGAAAACACACAAATAGCGGGCCTTTCAATTGTAAAGTGAAAACCTAATTTATGCACTTGCCTTAATTAATCCTTTCTATGAATGCGATTTAGTAATTTTCACTTTGAATAGGACCTAAACTATTTACCTTGTGTGCTAATGAGAACTATTCTCACCATTTTCACTGTTCTAATTGAAAATGACGCCATACAATTTCTGACGTGACAGAAGCTTTAACTAATTTCCCAGTTCCACAAAGGCACTAGAATAATTTCTAGTCTCTGTAGTTTTCAATCTTGTTTTCATCAAAGGATGACATGTGTAAATACAGAAATGTAATTGGGTGACTGATTAAACTAGGAAAACGCGAATTACATCATCGTTAGCAAGTATTTAATTGGCAGCTTTTTCCTCAACCACTTCAATTTCTACAACATTTTCTAATTTTACATGCTCTCCCAAAGTTATTATATTTTGCAAAACTCTATCTTTCGCTTCACTGCACTAAAACACAGTCAGTTTCAATTTACATGCTCCACTTAAAGAGATTTTTTAAGAGCATTTTCGTAGAAAATTCTGGCCTTCCATCTTCATACCTTTCGCCACTCACGATATGCTTCTCTTCTGCACATTTACAAAATCTCTGGCTTTTTTTTCGGGCAAAAGAACTTTACAAAGTGCAATTTATTTTGCGTCCGTTGCCGCACTCGTCGATTCAGTCCATGAATTTCCCCAACTTGAGAGAACTTGGCACTCTTTCACCACATTTTCTCACTGGGTGAAAAGAAGCGGAAAACAATAACACGAAAATCTCTTTCAATCTTTTATTTCACCCTGTTTTCAACGAGTTTTTTCGTGTAATATGTAATAGATAAAAGGGGAAAATATCAATTTTCGAGCTCTATTTTTTCCTCATTTCTCCATCAAGAGGATTTCTCTAAGACAACACGCTTCGGAATGTGGAGGGAAAGAGTTAAAATGTGTTTCGTGGGTGGAACATTTTCTTGATAATCGATTTCCCGATCCAATTTCACGACACAGGAATGCTCACTCACGTGATAAAAGCATTTTGGTTTGAGGATTTCCACAGTGTGGCGTCTTAAGGACATTGAGAAGTTCAGTGCTCTTTATTTACCAATT